TCTTAGAGTAATACAAATTCGTAAATTTATTTCCTGTCAAACTCCGCCATAATCGGGTGTAAAATACATTTTAATAACAGTGCTCGGTGCAAAGTACTCTAAAACAAAGTGAGTTTCAAATTCCTTCATAACAAATCCAATTAATGGTAGCCCAATATTAGATCACGTGACACAGTAAATTAGTATAGCCGATTCTGTTAACTACGAATGTTGTGTTGTGGTTTTATATTGTTTCTGTGTGGAAAAAATGGAGGATTTACAACAGTTTATAAAAATATCGGAGCCCGGTAAAGCACGCAAGAGATTAGTCGATAAAACAAAGTGGAACCGTGAAGCATTGCCTGAAAAAAGCGGCCAAGTGCGAGTCGGACTCGCCCATGAAGGGTTCCGTAGCAGCATGTAACATAATATAAAAGTTCGTGTAGTTCGTTGCAACTTTGAACGATGTTTCAATAATAGTGTATTTTTCAAATTAAGTTATTGATAAGTGAACATTATAATTAATGTATCGAAAAATTAGCTCTGCGCGCACGAGTGTCAATGACGTCTGCCCGCTCGGGGAAACGCAGTCGGGAACCTCCCCCCCGCGCGCTCCGCACCCGCAATCGATCAAGGCATGCCCCACGCGAATTATATTTATTATTTACTTAGGCACCTTTTACAGATTCATTATTAGAAAATAATGGTTCACGGTTTATGCATAAGGTTTATGTTTATGAAATAAAATGTATTTTTTTTTATATTTGACTTGATTGAATGAAAGGTAAATTGTGGCTTACTATTTATGACGTATTAAAAAAATATTACTAGATCTCGTTCAAACCAATTTTCAGTTTAGAAAAAAAATTATATTAAAAACCTCAATATCTTTTTTAAGACCTATCCATAGATACTCCACACGTATGGGTTAGATGAAAAAAATATTTGTGTTTCGGTTGTATGGGGAACCCCCAAAATTTATTGATTTTTTGTTATTTTTGTGTGAAAATCTTAATGCGGTTCACAGAATACATCTATTTACCAAGTTTCAATAGCATACTTCTTATAGTTTCGGAAAAAATGTGGCTGTGACATACGGATGGATAGACAGACATCACGAATCCATAAGGTTTCCGTTTTTTGCCATTTGGCTAGGGAACCCTTAAAAAATTGGTTTCTTTCTACTACTAAACAGTCTACTGCCATTTGAATAGTTGTTAAGCAAAACTGGACGTTGAAAATGGTTCAACATGCTTTGGCGCAAAAATTCAAATTTTAATTTTTTTTATTGCTAAATTGAGTACCTTACTAATATTAATTTCCCTAAAATAAAACAATGTTCGTTACATTATCATTTAACGGTCTGCCGATTTTATACGAATGAGTTGTGTGTAATTATAGGTACCTATTCGTATAAAATCGACGGCAGATACATTATTGATTGTTACAAGCGATATAAAAATACTGTTTTATTTTCGAGAAATTATAAGGTTATATAATACTCGGGTTAACAAAAAACAACAAAAAGTATTTTCAAAGAACGTAATACTAACATTATGTAATATACTAATAATAACTTTGTTTATCTCGTGTATAGAAAAATGAATGTTGGTTTGATTGTTTGCTCGTTACCGATGCATGAATTGGGATGAAATTTGGCACACAGGTAGATCCATGACCTGGGAAAGGACGTAGGTAGGGTATGGTAGGAAAGGGTAGCCAGGTAGTGTAGGTACATCAAGTGATACAAAGTTCTTGGTCAGCTAGTTTTTTATAAAATAAAAGTATTTTTTCTACTTATTATAAAATCTGTACTAACAGTGAAAATTCAAATGAGACTTATTTTAGTTGTAGATACAAGCAATATACGCTACCAGCAATCCCATCATGTGGACACAGTCGCAAGGTATTTCAGTGCGCGACTTTAGCGTGCAAATAAATAAGAAAATTCCACCAATCATTTTACAAACATATGACAAAGATTCAAGACAATTTTATAACAAAACACTGTACTATCATAACATCTAAAACTACAAAAATTAGTAGCAAGTGAAATCATTCGTTAAAATATTTGATTCGTAACAAGAGCGGTAAAATGATCCCTGTTAGTCAAAAAAAATTACCAAGGTATTGCGTGTACAGAAAGACCGTGTACATGGAGTGATACGAAGATTTTATGTAAAGGAGGAGATTGGCAAAAGAGCTTAGGGATGGAGACCGAAAAAGTCAGAAGTTTGAAGAGAAAAGAAAAGCGGTAGAAGCTTTTATATATAGTCATTTAAAGCAAATGAAACCCACTACTGCAGGTGAAAAAATATAAAAAGATTGTACTTGCCCCCTAAACTAAACATAAAAAACTTTGGCGTATAGATAACAACGACCATCCTCGCTTAGAAGCAAAACAGAATTTTTTTTTTTTATAAATACATTTAATTGTTGCTATAACATTGGTTTTGGCACACCTAGTCTGATTTTTTTTCGACATGTTTTCTATTAGATAAAAACATTAAAAAAGAAACAAATACTGAGATAATAAATAAATTGATAATTGAAAAAAGAGTCAACCGTTTGAGGTTCAAAGCATTCAATGAGATCTTGCAGGAACAAAGTAGTGATCATCTAGGCTTCGACTGTCAAAAAAATTTATGGCTACCTAAAGTGCCAGATCAGTCCACCTACTATAGCCGCCAATACAATTTTAGTTAATTACAGTATTTGGTAGCTCTAATGCAAAATTGACCCAGGAATACATATTTGCATGTACCTGGAATGAAACCATAGACAACAAAGGTAGTAATGAAATAATTTCAGCAGTTCATCACTTTTTAACTAATTTAAACATCAAAGAAGAAATCAAAGTTTAAATAATAGTAACAGATGGCTGTTCTGGACAAAATAAAAATTCCGGCATGGTAGCCATGCTTGGAAAATGGTTGAAAACAGGAGCACCCAGACACATCAAAAGGGTAGAAGACGTTTTTCCTGCTGCAGGGCACTCTTAAATTCCAACTGACCGCGTGTTTGTTCAAATAGAGAAAGATTTGAAAAAGCGTGAACTATGCATCAATTATCAAACCAACGACTAGCTGGCACGTACGATCCAAAACAAATAATTTATCACTGCAAGGAGAACAGTCATATGAAATTGAAATTAATGTAAAGAAGCCAATAACAAAGGAAAATAATATCATCACTATATTGATTCCAGTTGTTATTCGAGCAAACCAGTTAATTCCAAAGAAAGTAAAATCACCAATGTTTCAAATCTATTAAAAAAAACATTATGGAGAGCAATGGAGAGACATTGAAACATTAGAGTATTATAAAACAGAGGAAGGTAGAAGGTCTTATGAGCAAGGAGATATTGACGAGGATAAAGCAAAGATACCAAGCGACCTTTGTGAAGACGGCTTTGAGGATTTCAACCTAATAGTATGATTTAACTTTTTGTGTATACCTGATTTCTAATGTAGAACAACAAACTAGTTTATTTTAAAATTATATTATGAAGTAAAATTGCTCTGGTTATTTTTTATTTACTTACTGACCAGTTGTCATTGCATAACATTGACCATCACCACAGAATGAAATAAGTTTGAAATCCCGCTATTTCACAAAGCTTAGTTACTAATGTTCCTATAACACTTAGTAAATTTCAAAATCCAAACTATTTAAAATCAATAACTGTTTTCAGCTGGTTTTATGCTAGTAATGGTAGCTTTATTTTTTTTTTCATTTTATTTTATTTTGTATTTTATTTTATAGGATAGGGTGAGAAACGGGTACACTGTCCACCCAATGGTAAGTGGTAGCTGCGGCCCATAGACATCTATCTACATTTATCCTCAACAAAGAATCAAAATGCAGATGCGTCGTCACCCGTTAGGAATAATATGGAATGCCTCTTTTCAAGTAAAATGGGTCTCCGGTTCTCTACACTCACCATACGAAACACAGCAGCGTCAAGCTACTACTATTTTACGCTGGTATTCTGTGAGAGCGTGGTCCGTCCCCGGCCGAGCCGACCTCTACCACGTAAATTTTATTTAATTTTGTTATATAGATATCTTTTGTAGCCATCGAAGTAAAAGAAAATGGTCTAATAAAGTAATTTTGTTTCTGTTTCAAACTTTATTTTTCATGTCTGTAAAATTTTATTGAATTGTTTTAACGGGTTTGCAACTAGACGACAGATATTCAGAGCGCATTTTCATTTAATTCGTTACAATATCATATTAAAACAAAAATTATTTTGAATTCTTTTATTCCTAAGGATTCGCACTTGCTACTGCTCACGTATATGTATAATATGTTCTATCTAAGATTTCGATACCTTTACTTACAATTCTTTAATGAAATAAAATAATCTATAATGTTTTCTATCTTTCACTCTCCTTCATTTTAATCTGCAAAAATATAATGAGTCTATCATTGAACATATTTTGTCCCGGATAAATATTTACGCTCATTTTCTATTTTAATTTTATACATTAAAATAAATTCCTATATAGTAAGCACATTATTTCTAAATAAAGTTGCCTTAAAGAAACATGTCATTTTTCTTAATTATGTTTTTGTCATTATGTAGTTACTTTTACTATTTAGAATGCATTTGAAAACACACTCACTATAGCTCACTACTATTCGATAAATATCGACAAAAATTGCTTTACGAATTTGAAGGATCAAAACAACAACAGAGTATCAAAAACATTTTAATCGTAGACTGAATCCGGATATTTACTTTAAGAGTAACAATCTAATTTTCATTTTAAAATTTTAGAATTTTATCAATTTGATATAAGTTTCAGTAGTATAAAATACTAGAAAACAGATGCAAAATGTTATAGGAAAATAGGCAGTTTCTGTGTGGGAAATGAGCAAGAGATTGTTATGTAGCATGTGTATGGAAGAATGAAGTAGCAATAATGCAATAATGCAACATAAAATAGGGAATAGACAATTATTTTACACGAAATATTATTGCCTTACGTGTTGGTTAAGGCTGTGTTGTGTAATTTTCATCTAAAGCCATCGATTGTGCTGGTATAAATTGTCGCTAAAGTACAGTATAGCGAAATGAGTAGATTAACAGACAAAGCACATGGTGAAGCCGTATTAGCGTTGCCGTGCTGCATCGCTGCTGGATGTTCCCCTGGTAACAGAACAAGGAAAATATGAAAACAAATACTATTTTTGTACCTACTTAAAATAAAATTATTTAAACGTGACACACGTGTTTTAATATAATAGAATTAATTTTTTTCATAATATTGAAGTAATAAACAAACCTACAGTCCACCTGAAGGTAAGGGGCTACTGCAGCCTTTGGGCATCTGCAATAATCGTTAAACAATGAAGGCTATAAATGCGTTGTCACCTTTGTGGGCGAAAATAAAGGGTCTAACTATAAGCTCTCTTTAACTTACACATACTCTGTACAAAACACAGCAGTGCAGGACATTGCTGCAAAGCGGCAGAAATAATTTCTAAATAGTGTTCCTTTAATGTAATATTCAGCATAAATCACAGTCTTAAGGATGTGGAGTAATCATAAAGCAATATAATTAGCTGAATAAAACATAAGTATAAGCCAGTACTTGACTACAACCTCACCTGATGAGTATGTGGTGATTAAGTCCTAATTATATATTTTTTATTTTAATTTTTTATTTTAATTTATTTCGAAAGCAACAGCGTTCTAATTAGTTAACATTAAACAATATTATTCTTATAATAAAGGCCAATAACAGGTTTCCTTTAATTACTAAGGCATAATATACTACGGTCGTAATGATTAGTATCAGTTGGTATACACTCAATTTTACACTTATAACATTAAATGTTTGCATCTGTTCCCTTAGGCAATATGCACATTTGACAAGTCTCATACACAAATTCATAAACATATGTACATGCACACTAATAAAATCAGTAACAGCACACACTGCTCAACGGTACCAAACAAATAAACACGAATACACACATGTTACTTTTTTATACACAAGATTAGCAGTATATTATTATTATTTTTACTCTACTATAAATTATGTTATGTTATGTTATGTTATTTTAGACATAAGTATAAGCCAGTACTTGACTACAACCTCACCTGATGAGTATGTGGTGATTAAGTCCTAATTATATAAGCCCAATGTTATTGTAATTATATAAGCCAAATAATGAAGCCCATATTAAATAATTACTTACCGTTAATAACATGAACATTGACTGAAGCTGTGTCAGCCATTGTGGGTACGCAGCTATAATTACCGCTATCGGTTGGCATTAGTTTTTCGATTGTGAGTCGAGACGTCAACTGTTCCGTCCATTCCGTTTTCAGTCGGATTCTCGGCGCAATGTCAAGTTCATTCTCTTCCACTTCTTTATATTCTATTAAGTTTGATCCTGTAATAAATTACAAAAATGTAAATAACCTTTAAGTCATTCTGTTCAATATTTACTACAATATATTATAAGAAGCATACTTCATAACTAGGAACATATTCGTTTAAAATTACATTTTTATACGTGATTATTTTGCAACATGCAGCCAAATTTGCAAGTGAGGTTCAGAATAGGTAATATAAGCGAATGCTGAGAAAAAAAAAACATTTTGACCTTTTTATGTTTCATATTAAAATTCTGTCATTAAAAATGTGTTGAAATGCATTATTTAAACTTATTGTCATTCACAAATATGAAGCGCCTACTATTTTACTCACGCATAATATGGAAGTGAAGTGTTCGGCGCATGCGCTCGCGTTCGCTTACATATTTAGGTACCTATCATAATAGTTGTTTTGACTTGGTAACGACAAGCGCATCTCCCCGCTCTTTTTCTTACATAAGTCGTTACAACGCTAGGTACGTTCGACCGGCCGGCCGATAGTGTTGAATTGACCTTAACCTAATTACTTACTACTGTGCTATATTTAAATTTCCGCCGTTAGTATTACTTATCAATTTGTTAGCAATGACGCCACGGTGTTACATTTTAAGTAAAGAAAGTTTACGTGGTGTAAAAAGGTTATAGGAAAGTGAATCTTTACCGAGTTTGCAAAGAACATTACATTCTATGAATGGTTCTTGTCGAACATTGATAAAACTGAAATTATGTGGACTGACGAAGCCCTATTTACTCGTGTAAGGCTTTATAAAAGTCGTCACACATTACTGGATAGTATGCCACCCACAAGCTATAAAAGACAGTTATTATCAAGTGCGATTTATTGTTAATGTTTGGGTTGGCATTATTGATAGCATAAATATGGGCCTTCACAAGTCCGCTACTGAATATAGGCCTACCCAAAGGAATACCACAAATCACGGTCCAATGCCATCTGCATCCATTAACTTCCTGCATGACTTAGCAAGTTGTCACTCTATCTAGGGGCGGGACGCCCTACATTTCGTCTGCTGGTACGAGGCTTCTTCGAGCTATATAATTGACACATTGCCACTTCAGCTTATTAATCCAATTCATCATCATCATCATCATCATTACAGCTCTTCATAAGTCCACTGCGGAACATAGGCCTCCCCAAAGGAATGCCACAAAGCACGGTCCTGAGCCACCTGCATCCATCGACTTCCTGCATTTCTTACGAGCTCGTCACTCAATTTTGTGGAGCGTCGCCCTACACTTCGCCTACCGGTACGAATCTGCCACTCGATAATCTTTCTTGCCCATCGGTTGTCGGTTCTTCGAGCTATATGGGCGGCCCATTGCCACTTCAGCTTACTTATCCTTTAAGACTATGTCGGTTACTCTGGTATTCTACTGCGGATATCCTCATTTCAAAGTTTATCACGCAGAGAAACTCCGAGCATAGCCTTCTCCATAGCTCGCTAAGTAACATTAATCGTCCTCATATGGCTAGCAGTCAAAGACCACGTCTCAGATCCATAAGTCATCGCTGGCAAACACGCAATGATTGTACAATCTCGTTACCAGGTTTTGAGGAATACCTGACGAAAAGATTTTTCGTAGTTTTCCAAACGCTGCTCAGCCGAGTTGAATCCGTCAATTGACCTCTCAGTCGAAGTTGGACTTACCAAGTCGAACCATTCATCCCAGGTAAACATACTCGTCAACAACTTTGAGCTTAGTGCTCCCAAGCACTACCGGCATAGGTGTGACATGGACATTAAACATGATCTTTGTTTTGTCCATGTTCATCTTAAGACCTATCCGTTGGGAGATACTATTGAGGTCATTGATCATAGTGCTTAGGTCCTCCAGCAAATCTGCCATGAGAACTATATCGTCGACAAGTCGAAGATGAAGGAGATGTACTCGCCAATGATTTTAATACCGCATCCTTTCCAATCCAGTAGCTTGAAAACCTCTTCATACGTTTTCGTACTCTGGTTCTGTACTCGGATAACTCGGCCCCATCGTAACCCTACGGTACAACCACTTCAACACTTACACACATAACGAAAGTCCACTTGGCACCGCTGAAGGGACTGCAGCACTGCCCAAATTTCGACGGAATCAAGGGCTTTCTCATAGTCCACGTACGCAAGGAAAAGTGGTAGATTTTATTCTTCAGTCTTCTGTACAATTTGCCGAAGGGTATAAATGCGGTCCATGGTACTAAAGCCTTTTCGGAAAGCGGCTTTTTCGGGAGGTTGGAAGTCATCGAATCTGCGTGCGAGACGATTCGTTATGACTCTCGAAAACAGCATGTAGACGCGGCTCGGAAGGGACGTCGGTCAGTAGTTCTTCAAGAGAGCGTTATAACCTTTCTTGAAGATCAATACCACCGCATCTCTGCTCCACGCCTCCGGAGTAGTATCACCTTGGGAGACGGCATTGAGAAGCTTCTGAAGGACATCAAGTACCGGTTTTCCATCTGTTATCAAAAGCTCCGCTGTAATCCCAACCTCGACTTGGGCATTGACGTTTTTAAGGTGCTGGAGAGCCATTCGAATCTCGCTCAGACTGACGTCCGGAATATCATCGGAATATTTTGGGATTAGACTTGCTCTTGGAGTTACTCACACTTACGTTTGGCTCCAACGATGATGTGTACAGTTGCCCATAGAACCTATCAATCTCACTCAAAATCTTAGCTGTCCCGAAAACGACGCTTTCACACTCAGTCTTCAGCTTCGACAGTTGGCTCTTTCTGGCAGACAGATCTCTGGCAAAGACTTTGGACCCTTGGTTATGCTTGATCGCTTCTTCAATACAAGCTGTATTGAAGTTTCGTAAGTCACGCCACAAGCATGCATCTGTCTGTTTAGTTGCCTGTATGCTGTCAAATCTGATGAATACTGCAGCTTCATTTACCGTCTAACAGCCATGAGGTTAAGAGTGTGATCGGAGAATTTTTGTGTTATTCAGCGGTGGGTCTTGCAGAACTTAGCTTCGACCGTATGGACAGTTTCTACGAGCTTATCATTCATATCGTCTACTTCATTGAAGTCTTCTTGGCACTGAAAACGGTTTTGTAACTCGAGCTGAAAGGCTTCGAGACTCTGGACTAGAGCACCAGGAAGACGGAGCATTGACTTCATTGGACGAGACCTCTCCATCTTAACGTTTATGTTCAGTATGCCTCTAACCGTTCGGAGATCGATACCAATTTTCGCCCTCGCGATCACTGAGACATTTCTGAACATTTATCGTCTGGTCGTCATAATGAAATCAATCTCATTTTTTGTCGAACCATCGGGGCTTGACCAGGTCCTCTTCCTGTGAGGACGCTTCTGGAAAAAAGAGTTCATTGTAAAGAGTCCCTCTTTCTCCATGAAAACGACCAGCTGCTGGCCCCTTGGGTTCCGTTGCCCTATTCCAAATTTCCCTACCTTTAGCTCACCATTTTATCTTATGCCTAGTTTTCCATTAAAGTCTCCCATTAACACCGTCTAGTTGGTTTTGGAGGAATGCATGGCTCTAGATATATGCTCATAAATTTCCTCCACCTCCTTATCGGGATGTCTCGAGGTTGGTGCTTAAGCTTGTATGACCTTTAATGAATACCGTTTGGTGATTCTGAGTATAAGGTACATAACTCTCGTCAACACACTCACTATCTTTACAACGTAGTTAACGAGAGACTTGTGGACCATAAATCCGACACCTCCTTGGGGCAGATGGCCGCCCTCCCGGTGATAGAACAAGTTGCCGTATTTGAGGATTACCGTGTCCACCCCTCTCTCCGGACTTCGGATAATCCTATGTATAATATGCCAGCGTAACTTGTTTATCTCTTCTTCCAGCTCCACAATCTTCTCGTCAGTCCTCAGGATGCGTGCGTTGTATGTTGCCAGGTCGAGTCGTCTTAGGTGACAACCGAACCTCCACCGGAGATTTTTAGCACTCACTGCCCCGCCATTACATTGGTCGCCATAGTAGCCAGGAATAGCGGGGCCGCCAGGGACTGGGAGCCATCTCTTCGTAACTTTCATCATGGGGGATATTTGCCATAGTTGCCACACTTGGCGAGCGGGTTGGCAACCGCAGTTTCTATTGTAATATTGCTGTTATCAGAAAGATGCTGCTGCCCACGTCCTACCTGTTTCCCACTGTCGCCTCTTACAACATTGTCGCGAATATATGGGGTAGTGGATATTTTTATACGCCACTACGTGGCCTAATCCGATTATAGAGGATTAATGGACAGTAATTATTTGGACATGTCATCATCATCATCATCATCATTACAGCCCTTCACAAGTCCACTGCTGAACATAGGCCTCCCCCAAAGAATGCCACAAAGCACGGTCCTGAGCCACCTGCATCCATCGACTTCCTGCATGTCTTACCAGGTCGTCACTCCATCTCGTGGGGGGACGGCCTACACTTCGCCTACCGGTACGAGGCTGCCACTCGAGAACCTTTCTTCCCCATCGGTTGTCGGTTCTTCGAGCTATATGGCCGGCCCACTGCCACTTCAGCTTACTAATCCGTTGGGCTATGTCGGTTATTCTGGTTCTACTGCGGATATCCTCATTCCTAAGTTTATCACGCAGAGAAACTCCGAGCATAGCCCTCTCCATAGCTCGCTGAGCGACCTTAAGCTTCCTCATACGGCCAGCAGTGAAGGACCACGTCTCAGTTCCGTAAGTCATCACTGGCAACACGCACTGGTTGTACAATTTCGTTTTAAGGTTTTGAGGTATGTCTGAAGAGAAGATGTGTCGTAGCTTCCCGAACGCTGCCCAGCCGAGTTGAATCCGTCGATTGACCTCTCGGTCGAAGTTGGACTTACCTAGTCGGACTATTTGTCCCAGGTAAACATACTCGTCAACAACTTCGAGCTTAGTGCTCCCAACAACTACTGGCATAGGTGTGACATGGACACTAAACATGATCTTTGTTTTGTCCATGTTCATCTTAAGACCTATCCGTTGGGAAACACTATTGAGGTCATTGAGCATAGTGCTAAGGCCCTCCAGCGATTCTGCCATAAGGATAATATCGTCGGCAAATCGAAGGTGAGTGATGTACTTGCCATTGATGTTGATACTGTATCCTTTCCAGTCCAGAAGCTTGCAAACGTCTTCCAATGCAGCGGTGAAGAGTTTCGGGGATATGACGTCACCCTGTCTTACACCTCTCTGCAATTGGATAGGTTCTGTACTCGGATAGCCATCGTAGCCCTACTGTACAAGCACTTCAACACTTCGATATACCGACAGTCAACTTGGCACCGCTGAAGGGACTGCAGCACCGCCCAAATTTCGACGGAATGAAAGGCTTTCTCATAGTCCACATACGCCAGACATAGTGGCAAATTGTACTCTTCGAACTTCTGTACAACTTGCCGAAGGGTATGTATGTAGTATATGGTGCTAAAACCCTTTCGGAAACCGGCTTGTACGGGAGGCTGGAAGTCGTCAAGTCTGCGCGTGAGACGATTTGTAATGACTCTCGAAAACAGCACGTAGACGCAGCTCAGAAGGGAAGTCAGTCTTTAGTTCTTCAAGAGAGCGTTGCCACCTTTCTTGAAGAACAAGACCACCGCACTTCTGCTCCACGCCTCCGGTGTAATGCCACCATGGAGGATGGAATTAAAGAGCTTCTGAAGGACTTCAAGTACCGGTCTTCCACCCGCTTTCAGAAGCTCCGCTGTAATTCCATCCTCGCCTGGGGCCTTACCGTTTTTAAGGTGCTGGAGAGCCATTCTAATCTCGCTCAGACTGACGTCCGGGATATCTTCGGAATAGTGTCGGATGAGACTCGCTCTTGGATCGTTACTCACACTTGCGTGTGGCTCCAACGATGACGTGTACAGCTGCCCATAGAATCTCTCAATCTCACTCAAAATCTCAGGTGTCCCGGAAACGATGCTGCCACATTCCGTCTTCAGCTTTGACAGTTGGCTCTTTCTGGCAGACAGATCTCTGGCAAAGACTTTGGAGCCTTGGTTCCGCTCGATCGCTTCTTCAATACGAGCTTTATTGAAGTTGCGTAAGTCCCGACGCATGCATTTGGAGATCTGTCTGTTCAGATGCCTGTATGCTGTCAAGTCTGTTGAAGAATGTAGCTTCATCTCCCGTCTAACAGCCATGAGATTAAGAGTGTGATCGGAGAGTTTTTGTTTTCTTCTGCGGCGGGTCTTGCAGAACTTAGCTCCGACCACATGGACAGTTTCCACGAGCTTGTCATTCATATTGTCCACTTCATTGCAGTCTTCTAGGCACTGAAAACGGTTTTGTAACTCGAGCTGAAAGGTTTCGGGACTTAGGAACAGAGCACGAGGGGGATGGAGCGTTGACTTCATTAGACGAGACCTCTCCAACTTAACGTTTAGGTTCAGTGTGCCTCTAACCATTCGGTGATCGCTACCAGTTTTCACCCTCGCGATCACGGAGACATCACTGAACAGTTGTCGTCTGGTCGTCATAATGAAATAAATCTCATTTTTTGTCGAACCGTCGGGGCTCGACCAGGTCCACTTCCTGTGGGGCCGCTTCTGGAAGAAAGAGTTTATCATAAAGAGTCCCTTTTTCTCCATGAAGTCGGCCAGCTGCTGGCCCCTTGGGTTCCGTTGCCCTATTCCAAATTTCCCTACTTTCAGCTCACCGTTCTCTCTTGTGCCTAGTTTTGCATTGAAGTCTCCCAATAACACCGTATATTGGGTTTTGGAGGAATGCATGGCTCTAGAGATATATCCTCATACATTTCCTCCACCTCCTCATCGGGGTGTGCCGAGGTTGGTGCGTAAACCTGTATGACCTTCAGCGAATACCGTTTGGTGATTCTGAGTATAAGGTACGCAACCCTCGTCGACACACTCCCGATCTTTACAACGTTGTTAACGAGAGACTTGTGGACGATAAATCCGACACCTCCTTGGGACAGATGGTCGCCCTCCCGGTGATAGAGCAAGTTGCCGGATTCGAGGATTACCGTGTCCTCCCCCTCTCTTCGGACTTCGGATAATCCTATAATATGCCAGCGCAACTTGTCTATCTCTTCTTCCAGCTCCACGATCTTCTCGTCAGTCCTCAGGGTGCGTGCGTTGTACGTTGCCAGGTCGAGTCGTCTAAGGTGGCAACCGAACCTCCACCGGAGATTCTTAGCACCCCCTGCCCTGCCGTTACCATGGTCGTCACCGTAGCCAGGAATAGCGGGGCCGCCGGGGACTGGGGGCCGTCTATTTGTTGCTTTAGTCATTGGGGGGTATTTGCCATAGTTGCCACGCTTGGCGAGCGGGTTGGCAACCGCAGTTTTTTTATTATAATTTTGGCTATTATCAGGAAGATGCTGCTGCCCATCTCCTGCCTGTTTCCCTTTGTCGCCTTTTACGACACGTACGGGAGGATATGGGGTAGTGGATATTCTTGACCGCCACTACACGGCTTTTTTGGTATGGTGAGTGTAGAAAACCGGAGACCCTTTTTACTCGAAACGAGGCATTCCATCTTAGACCTCAGGGTTGACAACGCAACTGCATTTTTTATTTTAATGAGGATAAACGTAGATGTCTATCGGCCACAGCATCCACCTACCATTAGGTGGACTGTGCGTTCGTTTATTATACTTATTTTAAAAAAATAAGTGAATAGTGCCCAGACACATGTAATTAATGTGAAAAATAATTTAAGTAAATGTGGTCAACTGCGCATCGAGAGAAAACGGACTCCATTTTGAACACCTAGTAACATACTAATAAATTAGTGTTATTTTAAGTGATTGCATATTTAAGTTGTATATAGTTAATCGTTTTAAATTGTTAATAGTTATAAATACTTGATTCCATTTTTTAAATATGCCATAATAAAGACAGTTATCGGTTACGGCCGTGAAATATATATTTTTTTTATTATGACGGTGCAAAGGCCTAACAAAGTATGAAAAGAAAATTGGAATCAAAATTCGCTTCGAGCGTGTGATTATGGAAATAAATAATAAGCAAAAGCTCCGTGCACTGACTCGTGCACACGTAAGTGCGCGCGTACACAATGGTTATTGCCCGTAACTCACATTCAATTTCGGATATTTTTAAATATATTTAGAAACCCTATTTACGCGTATTTTTAAAAACTGTGTATATCGGTATTTATATTTTGAAATTATTTAATAAATTTGGCTAGTCTTTAAAAAATAACCCTGTACATAGTTTCCACAAAATGTTATTAATTGGAAGTAAAGACTAGAAATGTGTTGGAGGGTGACTCGAACTTTAGACCTAGTAAGTTTGAATAGCCTATCATGTAGAGGATGACATGGGGGTTATGGTTGAAAGGGTGCAAAAATTTCCTATTACACTCCTAGGAGGTCAAAATGGCCAAAAACCAAAAAAATTGGGGAGTGGCTCGAACTTTAGGCATAGTCAGTTTGAATAGCCTCTCATGTAGAGTATGTCATGTGGGTCATGGTTGAATGTGGCAAAAAGTTCTCATTACACTCCTAGGGGTCAAAATTGCGAAAGCCAAAAAATTTAAAATTCTTATTTCAGCTATAACTCTGCCTCCTTCGCAGTCTTTACTCCCCGCATCTAACTTGTGTAGTTCAGATATACAGCAGATAATTTATCGTTAAAAATAATTGCTAAATCTTAAACGTTTCGAAGAAAAACTTCAACTTAAATTAATTACTATTAAGTTTACTTTCATATTTACTAACCCTTATACCAAAAAATTGTACCAAGATCATGTGGTCCTTGGCTAAGTATGCAAGTGAGTGCCAATGCACTTCCAGTTTTGACGTACAAGTCTGCGGGCCCCAGTATATGCGCCTTTGCTTCTGTTGAGTTTAAATATAATTTAAACCTCTTTAAAATTGTAATATATAAGATGTATTATAAGACTACATAAAATATTTTTTTTAAAAAACTTATTAAAACCAAAAAAAATATATCACTTCGATAAAGTAAATATTTATTTTTAATTAAAACGTAATTCCAAGAATGACATAACTCATTAATGCTGATATATACTAGCTGCTATTTATATGCTTACTGTATGCACGTATCGATGTGACCCTTGAATTTCATAACGTTATAAAATTATTCTTTTCCATAATAAAATGTGCCAGTATCCAATTTCATTAAAATTACTTCAACCGCTTGAGCATTATCGAATAACAAACATCCAAATTGGCAAACATTCACATTTTTGATATTATATGCAATAAATTTCATAAGATTAAGGATTACAGTAACTTGAGAGATTAAATTTGGTGTGTGTTTTTGTCGGCAAAATATTCTTAAGCACTCGTAACTCCAGGTATTGGCGTGATTTGAAAGTTCGTGTTAGGAATTTTGATGTTGACTAGAACTTTGTATAACTTCAAAGTTGTTTTATGGAAGTTATTATAATAAATACTGTAGATTGTGCTAAAAAGGCTTAAATTTCGCCACCTACATAATTGAATTGTCTGCCAATTTGAACTTACTTTCCTATCCTATGCCCTGTGATGTAGAAATACAGCCCAGTCTGTTAAAATGCAAGTATAATTGATAATGAAAAAGAAATTGCATAGGTTTTGCAATAAAATTCATATGATAGGATTTTGATTTTAATATGCGCGTATTTTTATTTACTCTTTGAAAAACAGCATCATCTGTTGTATACAGCTAGTATTCAGGTGTTTGGAAGATGGGCGCAAAGCCTGAAGGGGATGATACCTTACCTTAAACCATTTAGAACATATTAAGCTAAACTTGTCTCATATTGAATTTCTAAGGCTTTTAACAATAAAACCCATTTTTTTTTAATTAATTGCTTACAGCTTTCAGTAACAATTGTTAAGTTAATACTTTTTATTTATTTTTTAACTGTGTAATGTGTGATTTCTCAAACAAAACAATTTAGAAGCATCTTCATCATCATAAAACATTCTGAGCATATTACTAATAAATATTACTAATAAAATTAGTGATCGATGGAACTGATTCACTTTTAGAATTACGGTGCACGTGCACGAATTAACATCCGGCAACTCGTTTAGCAAAAGCCGCCACGCGTCCTTAAAAAAAAAAACTTGACCATTTTGACTCTCAGGTAGCGGCTAGTAGACCGCTACCTCAATAATACCTACCACTGCCTGAATAATCAGCTTAGTAAATTATATAAAGTCGTTATTTATTCATACTTATTAGGATCAGTACTAAGTAATAGGGCGGTTTCGTCACATCTTCGGATCCTCAGTTAGTCAAATAACGACTGCCCTTGTGACTAGACATTTTAATTGCAAATTCGTGTTTATTTCGGACGTTATTTTTTATTGAGTTGAGCCTAGCTATAGTTATGTGCTCCTTCACTGTTCTCCGACTATTTGTGTGATCAACCAACTATAGCTGCTTTTACTAATGAAAAATATGCTGATATCGTCTTCATGTAGAGCTGACGGTAATGGATCTTTGGTATGGCGGGTGTACCAAGAGCACATTTTGTCGGCTTTCTGAAGTTAGAATCCATCACGTCAAACCTGTATTCAATCCGGAAAGACCGAGCCCAAATATCGAGCAGCATTTGATTGAGGTTCTACTGTGATCGTCAGAGCAGTAGCTCAAAACCTCAGAATTTTGATATGGAAGGTATGACGCACCGAGAAAACAAGTATCCTTTTCACGGAATTGGTGTACTAGGTTGGAAAAATGAAGATCCCCCACGAAGTTTTCAGTTCTATCATTTTCTGATAAATAGTAACATTGAAGATAAATGGTTTTGAAAATCCATCTTGTGGACCGATGAGTCAAATTTTTCCAAAAAAGAAATTACCAACTTTCATAACCTCCATCGATGTTCTAGTAAGAACAGCAATCAAAACTGGAAGAAGCTGTCGCGTGTGGCGTACGTCAATCAAACACGGTGGCCTGGCAAATACTAAATAGTTACTTATCTGACATAGCTACACAGTAATTACACTGAAATAAAAAATCATTAATCACCAATTATATTCCTCCTTAATATATATTTATTTACTTTTTAAATCATGATTACTTAAAATTAACATGCATCTTTTTTATAATTACAAGATCATAATATGTTTTATTTAAAAACAATAATGATTTCTATTTTCAGTAGGTCAAACCCATTTCACAATACTGATTTGACATTGCTTTTTAATAATTTTAACATTGCTTTAATATTGAAAAAAAAAATTGAACTAATTAAGATTCGTAATATACAAATATTATTAAGTATTAATTTAATAATTTCATGCATTATTTCTTGCATATTATCTTTAATCGGCACTTTTAATCTTACAATTTTTATAATTATCTGAATTATTAAGCATTAAAAATATTGCATAAGTACTTTGAATTGAATATGAATTAAATTAATTAAATGAATAAAAATAAATTAACAAAGTGATAATTATGATTCCGTAAATATTAATTGACATTGAAATTAAAATTACAATTATATATAAACAATTAAAAAGTAAATTCATCATCATCATCATTACAGCCCTTCACTAGTCCACTGCTGAACATAGGCCTCCCCCAAAGAATGCCACAAAGCACGGTCCTGAGCCACCTGCATCCATCGACTTCCTGCATATCTTACCAGGTCGTCACTCCATCTAGTGGGGGGACGCCCTACACTTCGCCTGCCGGTACGAGGCTGCCACTCGAGAACCTTTCTTCCCCATCGGTTGTCGGTTCTTCGAGCTATATGGCCGGCCCATTGCCACTTCAGCTTACTAATCCGTTGGGCTATGTCGGTCACTCTAGTTCTACTGCGGATATCCTCATTTCTGAGTTTATTACGCAGAGAAACTCCGAGCATAGCCCTCTCCATAGCTCGCTGAGCGAACTTGAGCTTCCTCATCCGGCCAGCAGTGAAGGACCACAAAAGTATATTAATAAAACTTAAATGATATAAAAATATAGTAAATGAAATAAAAGTTTATTTGCATACACCCAGTTGTTTCACATACTTTGTAAGATGAACCATGATGCACCAGTTTACGTTGAATGTCCAAATCTTTTCGGTGGTTTCACTGTTCTGCCGGATCGAGTAACATAATTATAATTTTCAGTTGCATTTTCTCTATGCGTTGAGTACATATTTTGGTTGTGGCAAGATATACTGGCATTAACGTCATCATATTCAAAATCGTAGTTAGGAGTGTCATGTCTGTTTGGCGAATCTTTTAGTATATGTTTTCTATTTCTAAGTATTTTATTACCGGTAACTAATTTAATTTCATATGAGCGGTCTCTTATTTTCCTTGCAATAGTGCCGGATATCCAATTTCGTTTATCTACGTCTAATAACACTTTTAAATTCTGCCCGACATTTAGGTTTTGCAATTTTTTTTTGCATTGCGATCATAATACATTTTTTGTTTTAGTTGTTTTGCTTTTAATTTACTTAAAACATTTTTTGTGCTTTATGTTTTAAAAATTTTGTAGACACAGGCAATATACTTCTCAATTTTCTACTCTGTAATAATTCTGCAGGAGAAGGCAAGTTTTCATGTAAAGGAGTATTTAAATATTCTAATAAAGCCAACCTGTAATCCTGCCCTTCCGCGGTAGACTTCAGAATAATGTTTTTTATTATTTGAACGGTCCATTCAACTTGTTCGTTTGATTGAGCGTAACACGGTGATGAAGTTATGTAATTAAAATACCATTCTGATGAAAACTGTTTAAAAGCACTCGATGTAAACTGTGGACCACAATCAGTCATAACTATGTAGGCTCCTGTTTGCAAAATACATTTTTTAAACATGAAATAACAGAAAGCGAGTGACTTGACTACAATTCGACTTATTCAAAAAAAATTGCTATAATATTTTATTAGTAACAAATAATTTTGGTCTTTTTCTTGAAATAAATCTACTCCTATTTTGGCCCACGGTCTATCCGGTATTTCCTGACATCGTAGTTCTTCCTTTTGATTATTTCGTTTAATTGATAGGCATATTTGACAATTGGACACCATATTTTTAATGTCATTACTTAGCCCCGGCCAAAATAAAATTTAGTTTACATTTCTCGAGACCCAAGTGGCCTATATGAAGTTTGTTCAAAAGTTATTTTCTTAAATTTTTTGGAACAATAATTCTCTCATTTTTTCAAACTAATCCATGCGCAAAAGGTAAATCGTCTTTATAGTTCCAATACGGCTTGATAATATCATCCACTTCTCCTTTAATACTTGGCCAGCCCTTTAGCATGTTCTTCTTTAATTTTAGTAACACTTATCAGTTTCCGTGTATTTTTGGAGTTGCGTGAACTGAACGTCTGTAATGTCGTCAGTGACTCGTGAAACGACCTGTCGTTGTACCGCGCACACCTCACCATGTAGCGAGTCGGCGCTTGAACGCAGCGCGCTTATTGCTGTCGGTTGGTATGCACGTGATAACGCATCGGCTATCAAGTGTTTGCCCGCTTTATATACAAGTTTGAACGTATACGAATAAGAATCGTTGGGATATAATCCTTGTTCACTTATTTTATGACCTAAATATTTTATTTCCCTTAAACCAAACCGGCATTTGCTTTTATTCAATTTTAGATTAATTTTTCTACATCGTTCTAGAACTTTTATAAGTCTCCCATCATGCTTCTCGTTGTTAGAATCAAAAACCAATAAATCATCAATATACATACATACTCCTTCAATATCATCAAAATTTTCATGTATTTTTTTGTGAAACACTTCTGAAGCCGAGCAGATCCCATATGGCATTCGTAAAAATTTGTACCGACCAAAAGGAGTATTGCACGAACAATAATCACTAGTGTCATCTAACTTTACCTGCCAGAACTCTGATGAAGCATTTAGTGTACTAAATATTTTTCTTCCTGATAGTTTTGAGACAATTTCATCGAGAGTTGGAAGCCTAAAATGTTCCCTCCGAATGGCATTGTTTAATTCTTTAGGGTCTAAACAAATTCGTAAATCACCGTATGATTTTTTAACTAAAGTTATGCTATTGACCCAATCAAATGGGCCCTCAACCCTAGAAATGATTTGCTGTGACTCCATTTCATCCAATTTCCTTTTAAACTCATCCCTAATTGCAATTGGTAGCTTCCGTGGAGCATGCACTACGGGTACACTATTCTGCTTTAGGCGTATCGTATATTTACCCGGTAAACATCCTAAGCCCTTAAAACGTCCTCATAATCTTTAATAAATAATGGTCCATTATTTTTACTTTCTTACACAGACATGACACGCCTCACCACATCAAATTCTATACATGCGTACTTTCCTAGTATAGGAATAGAGTCTACGTCAACTACAATAAATTCCAAAATGTTAAAATTATTTTTATAATTGACCCGTAAATTTATTTTACCAACAACGTGTATGTAGCCACCCGAATAACCATTAAGTTTTGTACTCCTCACACTCGTGCAAAATGCTTCATCTTTGAACAGCGCATGCACCGTTTACCAAACGCATGATACTCGTATTTCTTATGTACATTCCCGCAGTTAATGCACTGTTGTCATTTAACGGGGTATTTTTATGCGAAAAACCTTGACGGTGTGGTGGCGCTGGTCCGCTCTGCCAGCCGCTCCGGCAGCCGCACGCGCAGCGGCGTGCGTCGCGCCCCGCCAGCGGCCCGCGCTCGCGCTGGTTCCGCGCACTGCGCCTCTGTTGCCCCGACCCCGATCATGACACGTTTTATTCCTTTGTTTATCCCATGACGAGTTTGAAACTTTATGTATGGCCCGTATGTCCTCTCTATCTTTATTCAAATTTCTGACCTCGTAAGTTGACTCTTCACGTCTCATATTTTCCGAATAGACCTTCGAAATTATTGCCGCACAACAGATGTCCAATGCAGATTTTAATGTTAAATATTGTCCTCCCTTAACAATCTTTCTCGAATACTTCCACTAGTCACACCAAAGATCAGTCTATCCTTTATTAGACTATCACATAATTCAAAAATTCGCACGTTTGGGACAATTTTTGCAACTGAAATACATATTGATCGATTGTTTCATATTATTTTTGATCTCGTGTGAGAAACTTATGGCACTCAACCGTAACGTTTCTTGTAGTTTTAAAATATCGGTCTAATATTGTTAAGACACTCAGCTGTTACGTATTTTTTCCGAATACTGGTCTAAAATGTCTCGACACTGTTCCCCAAGCACATGTCGTAATATATTTAGTTTGATAGATACATTTTTCTTATCAATCTCGCAGGCTTTGCAATATATAATATAACTATTGCGCCATTTTGTCCAACTTTCACTTAAACTTCCAGAGGTCGAATCTATTGCGTTTATATCAAAACAAAATGGAGGTGGAGGCGTTAAGACACTTCCCATTTTTAATACGTGCACTCGTACTTGTTACTATTACATCTATAATAAACTAATTAATATTATTAACTTTTTTATTTATCTAATGAACAACGAATCTTCGCCTCGTTTTAAACTTTAAATTACCGGATGCGCCATGTCACGTGTGGCGTACGTCAATTACACACGTAGTCCTGGCCAGTACTGACTTTATTTTTATTTTACAAGTACCATCACAGAAGCAAGTTTCGTTTCAAAGGAAATTTTTAGTGAACGTGTGGGCAGTAGTAATCGGCCGAACGTCCCCACCAATCATCCTCAATTCCTACCAGATAATTTAAATGGAGACAATCACCTGAAATTCCTTACAAACGATCTTCCAGAGCTTTTGGATGAGACTGAAATACCAATATTGGCAACGAAAAGACCAATGTTCTTTTAGCAAGATAGTTGTCGAGCGCATTGTAATCCGAACGTACGAGGACATTCAAATAATTGTTTCCGAGAGAACTGGATCGGCAGAGACGGGCCCATTGGCCACCTCGATCGCCTGAATTAACTCCTATTGATTTTTTTTTATTTGGGCCAGTGAGCTCGTCTACACGCATATAGATATATCAACCAGAGAGGAGTTAATACGAAGAATCAATAAGCTATTCAAGTTACGAAGCCAGAGATGGAAATAAAAATTACGACCACAGAAGTGAGAAGACGAGCTCTCAACTCGCGGTCAACATTTAACACGAAAAATAAATTATGTTAACAAAAAATGTTGTTTCATTAGTCTGTTAAAATTTGAAAATCGTCGTCCGCAATTTCCTTTGTACAAACACCTCATTCCAAGAATTGATGAGACATCTGCGTAAATTATATCACAAAAGAAAGAGCAATATCTAAACATGTTTTTAAAAGGCTTGAACAGCATAGGCTATTTTATAATTTTTTTATGATAGCATAATCACAACAATTCCTTAATTTATTTTCTGGTTTATATGCGTAAAATGTTTTCTAATGGTGAAGATACTTGGAAATGATTTTGTTTGACTAATCACACATTACATAAATAAAAAAATAACAACATAACAACTGTTATTGGACACCATTATCAATTAATTGAAAAAATGGGTTTTATTGTTAAAAACCTTAGCAATTCAATAAAAAAGGTAGCCGACTTCGTTTAAGACAAGTTTAGTTTAATATGTTATAAATATTTTAAGGTACCATCCCCTTCAGGTTTTGCACCTATTTTCCAAACAACCTGTATAATATAAAGAGTATATAGTTGACAACCTACTCAAAGACAAAATATCGATCACATTAAAACGCATTCAGAAAAATACAATGAAGATTGCTTTGTTTTATTTTTTTCTTTCAAACTCATAAATCGGTCTTGAAAATAAAAGAAATCCGACCAAATGATGTAACTTTTTCATTAATTTGGTTTATAAAGTACGTACACAAGCAAAATAAAATGTAGATATTGCCTTAAGGTAAAAAATTAGGTGAGATTAAAACCCGCAAAAGAAAGTAACTTTTATCATGACCTTCAATTCTTATTGTCATCCAGCAATTTAGTTTTCCTCCTTTTCTGTTGTATTACTTCCCTTTGAATTATTTCTTTGTTTTTGTTCAGAATACAGAAAATAAATGCAAACAAGTACGATAAGCTGGGATTATAAACGTCTGAACAGGGAAACATTATAATTAAGTATTTATTAATTATAATTATTAAACCTTCACTGAGTTTTTCCAGCAGCATATTTAATTACGTTAAGGTTCTTAAAATAATGTAATTATATATAATATTTTTACCAATACACGAAAAAGTTAACAATGCTATTTTTGTTGTAAAAAGAATTCATCATTTATGAGTTATGTATAAAATATATAAATCCCTAAAACAAAAAACTTTTCCCTCGTTAACTCACTCCCAGGACTCACAGCCAGGAATGTAAGATTACATTAATTATATCAATACATATTATATTATATTTTTATGTTTTGAAGCAGTCAAAAATATTTATAAATGCAATTTATATTTAATTACTTACCTACTACGTTGAGTTGAAATGCCAAAGACATTTTTGGTTCCGTATTAACTTGGCATTCATAAATGCCTGCGTCCCTTTCCTGTGGAAATTTGATTTGTAACGTCCAATTTTCTGATTTATCCGGTCTTATAACCTGACGAAAATTAAAGAAATAGGTAACTTCTTAATTTTATATGATATATAAACGTAACTATGGCAAAAATATTATTTTATTATTGTTTACATAATAAAATTCCATAAATACGTAGGAAAAGTTGATTCATCAAATATTTTTAATAACTATAAGACACAAAAGCTCGTCTGAGATTACTTCATTTATATACTTACTTGAAATCTCTGGTCAGATGTGTATGTCAATATCCCTGCTGTTAGTATATGAAGGTCTCGTTTTCTTATCCATGAAACCTACAAAATTGTGAAAATTTTATATGTACATATATCGTGACACGTTCTATTATTCGTGCTTACAATCTTACCATAAAAAAAATATTTAGAAGACATGTGAAGTTCGCGCTTTTTTTATATAATAAGGTTGAGAAAATCGCACACTGCCCACCTGACGGTAAGTGGACGCTGTGGTCCATAGGCCCATATCCTCGTTTGCGAATCAAAATGCAGATGCGTTCTCAGCCGTGAGGACTAAGATGTATCCAGTATGTTTTCTGTAAAAAGGGTCTCCGGTTCTCTACACTCACTTAAAAATAGTATTAAGCTGCTATTTTACGCTGTTATTCTGAGAGAACGTGGCCCTTTACCGGTCGAGCCGACCCTTTCGTGCTACAATTATAATATAGCTGCAGCGTGGCTCTACCACGTAAAACCAATCGTGCCGTTCACTATGCCATCCTCAAGGTTATATTAGTCGTAAATATGTGATGGTAACCCACTGCAAGCCGAATCTTATTAGGCAGTCTACCCAGCTCAATAACACTCATTTTGTGAAGCTTTTTCCCGGCTGTATCAGCTTCGGTGTGACTCCTGTAGTCACACTGTGATTGGTGTAGGCATTGAATGATCATCGTTCAATTGACGCGGTAGCTAAATCTCCATTGTGTCCACATTTACGATTATATTATTGACTTATCCGATGATGTCGTAGCTGCCGCCGTAACGCAACCGACCTATCTGATGAATGGTAGACGTGGTGATACTAGACGTGCCTTGATTGAATCTAATGCGAACAAGCCATGTTGTTTAGTTGGATACACAAATCCGTTTGAACGTGACAATGTAGAGACTTTGTCAAAGTGCATTGATTTCCTACACGTACCACACAGTTTAAAGCCAGCCATTGCCTCTTCTGATAAAGTATTACTAAGCAGCGGTGTTTTTTCTTTGGTGGCTTATATGAGTGCAAAAACCGTAGACGGTCACACACATCACACTTATTTCCGAATATATTGTGGACAAACGTACTGTTGCCTAATGTGTCTTTATAATCGGCAATCGCACGCCATCAGTGTCTATACAGTCTAGGTAGATGTAAATGCAATAACAATATACATTTACAAAGACTCGGTCGCCACAGCTGCATATGTACTGGTGGCGTCATTGATCTACTCAGATGCCTTCATTATTTTACGTTTCCACCACCGCTTCACTCTACCATATGGTATTTTATGGGGATCACTGTTTTGCCCTTGAAAAGCCCTTCCCAACCGTATACGATTTGTTTATTTTCATTTGGCTTATTAATGAGTATAGACTATAGACCGACATTGCATTATTTAATTAAACTTTTTTACTTTAACACCATATATATTCACTAGTAGCTGTGCCCCGCGACTTCGCCCGCGTGGGATTTACTACGATTTCATGGATATCAATTTTTTTGCGCGAAACCCTAATTTTGTTTTTGAGTAATGTTACCATCTTATAAATATTGACATTTATACTAACGATACTAACGTCACTCAATTATTTTGCCTTCCTGGAACCCTTCCACTAACACCTAAACTTTATAGTATGATATGAAAGTTCAAATTGACTTTTAAGTATTATTACGAATCTTTTGTATGGGAATATAGAAAAGTGTTGTTTTAAGACTTTTTCAGCAATTTTTTTTAGTTTTTCTCTCCTTAAGAACCATCTTCGTACTTCAAGAAATATTATAAAAAAAGAATTAGCAAAATCGGTTCAGCTGCTCTCGAGATTTGCACTTAGCAACACATTCAGCGATTCATTTTTATATTATAGAGAGATAACTATTACATACAAATTTCTTATGTATATGCAATCGATGGATTTTGACGAGAGATGATGATTGGAAATCAAACAACCGTTGTAGCTTCTCCAAGTCGAAATATATACCAAACAGTAATTTAGTGACGCTTCTCCTCCGCACGCGATTCGTCACAGTCTTTACTCAACGTAACAAAATTTTTGGTTCTTTAGCTATCGAGGGGAGCAATAAAATTTTGTATGTAGGTGATAGAAAATGGAGCTGCAACACCAAACTCTATCCCCCGATTTTGTTATCATCAATTATCTGAATTGCCTCACTCTATGCATGCTAATTTAAAGACGCATTAACGTCAAAAATGACCCAATAAGAATTAATTGTAATCTACATTTAATAAAAAATATTCTTTTCTATTCTGTAAAAGAATCCATCAACCCATTTTATCTGTGGATTTTGTAAGAGGTGACTACTGTTAAAGCGATCTTATGGCTTCCGACATATAGTTGTACACGATCTGGTTTACGTCAGGTGTAAAATACCCAGACCAGGGATGCGAAGCAGTGTCAAAGCGTCTGGTACTGTGATATACATTCGCCTGCCAAGCGTAACGTTTAAGGAAAATCCTTCCTATACTGAGAAAAACCCATGTCTAGTTGTGAATCTAGTTGTATTCTGGTTAAAAATTAACAAACAAATGATAAAGTGAAGCTTGAACTCCATAATATCTTTGCATTTGACGTTACTTACTGCTTTATCGCCAAGTTGTTCAACCCTACAATGAAGGAATGCAGTCTGACCAACTACAGTGGTTACGTTCCGTGGCACATTGTACTCGAAGTAAGGGAAAGATCCAACGCTGTCCTCGCCATAATGTGCGGTACCTGTAATTCATAAACACAATCATCTCTAATTCTGTGTCGTATTATTGTTTGGAGTAGGTATTAGCAATTTGTATATCGTGTATAAGTTGGCAACATTTTTAAAGGCATATAAATGGAATATGGAAAGAAATAAATGGAATATTTAGTTTTTTTTGGCTTTCGTCCCATAGATTATATACTAGTTTCACCTATTCCACCTACACTTACCCAACGCTCTCTGTAGAGATTATAAAAATAATGTCATTTTACCCGACCGTAGATAAGTTAAATTTGTCTTATTTTGAGTATTTTCGTTAAAAGAGTTTGAACAGAAAATAAATAAAGAGAGACGTGATTCATAAAGGCAGATATTGGCAAAATTATTGTGAAATCATATAAAATTTTTATTCTTACTACATAAAACCATAAATGCTTAGAAGAATATTAAATAACCAAATCACTAAAGCATTTAAAATGTATCAATGCGACTGTAAATGTTGCTCGAATTATCAAAGCAACGTGATAAAGTATCTCTAGAAAAAAAAAATGTGTAAAAACAAAATATTTCAACCAGTGTGAATAGAATGGATCGATGGAACTCAGAAAATTTGAATTTTTACTTAACTATGGGTAGTGAAGTAAAATTAAAGTATATCGGATCTTATAAAATTAACTTGAAATAGTCAAATTACTATACTAAAGCCCAGAAAAAATATTTGTCATAGATACACCTTATTGCGTGATATTTATGGTTCAAAACACGATAAATTTTACTTTGCTCGATCGAAAAACCCGAAACAGTGTCGATTTTAAAATCTCTTTTAGTTTTATATCGTAACTTAAGCAAGAAATTATATTGAAATTGCATGAACTTAAAAGTGATCACATTGTAAAGTCATTTTAATGCATATTTTTTTGAAAATCAATAGTTTTGTTAACAATTAAAAATTAAGGCTTTAAGAAGCTTGAATGAAGCTTGACGAAACGGCGATCGCAGAGATTTTAGCCGACGTCAACACCATCTCGCGACTACGTTATGTATTACTAAGAAAAGTGCAAAGATTAATTCATTTCAGAGGTTACAAGTATATAAGTGATATTTTGCTAATTATGCTTGCGTACCACTGACAGTTATGTCGTTATTAAGCACCTTCAACTACATTGCACGGTGTGGTGCTTCGTCCAGTAGGCATCACGAGCTATCAAGTGTGTAAGTTTTAAGTACGTAAATGTTTTATTATATTTGTTGAATTGTATTTATTTTTGTCGTATTAGCTCTGGGTCTAAGCGCTTGCTTTAAATTTCACCTGGGTTTGATCCCTTGCAGCACCAATGACATTTTTTATTGCAATTTTAATTTCTAATTTAGCACGTGTCTGCGGAATAAGCAAAAAATTTTGAAGACACGTGAAGATCGCCAACTGGCATTGGAGCAGCGCGGAGGACAGTTTCTTGCCCTAAAATCCCCTCAAAAATAAGAGAAGACCTGTGCCCAGCAGTGGGACGTATATAAGCTGTCACTTTACGTTACTTTTGTACCGTATACATATGAAATGTTCGTATTCGTTTCACATACAGAAGGATACGTAATGCTGAGAAAAATATCATGTGGAGGCCACGACAACGTAAAACATCTTTGTTCCTTGATAAAATGTTCTAGTGATTGTCAGTTACTTCATAGGCCACATTTTCTATATAGCTTAGAATGCTTCAGATAGGGCAAAATAAAAAATTATTCGAAATATTATGTTAATAATTTATTAATAATATATACATTTATAGGTATTTTCAATAAAAAAATAACAAGCTGCAAGGTTCAACTGATAGTGTTTTTTTAAACAGAATTGTAAAATTGTTGTTGTCATTTTTAACAGTCATTAATTGATGAAACTAAGTCAAGATCACTTTTTATAAAATAAATTTAATTAAGTTGTCACATGGCGTATTTGGCCTTCTACTTACAACTCGGAGGAAAATTGAAAAGATAGATTGTGTATGTTCTTAATTGTCTTGTGCACAACCATTTTTCACAGAAGTATATCGTCAATCAGATCCTGAACTTTTTTTACATTTATTTTTGTTATATCGTGTAACCTTTCTAAAAACTGACGCAAAGTCATAAGTGTATTATTCGTGTTAGTTTTTCCTGTAACGTTTTGGGTATCTTGGATAAGTTTGTAATTTTAATTTTATCATAAAATTTTCGCAATAAATTATTATGTTTTATACGTTGATTCTCTTCTTTTAGTTTCGGCGTGACTATAGGATGTTTTATAGGTACTGAGTTACCGTCAGTTACTAAGCGGCCATAAATCAATATATGTATCTATAGATATATATATATATATATATATATATATATATATTGTGATTTTATTATTTTAGATTTTTTTAATTTTGTTGACTTTTTTTTAAACCTGGTAAAATTATTTCTTATTCCATACCAATTGATGGGCCTGAGTATAATGCCAGTTATGCACTTTGGCTGAAGTTATATTTCATTTTATGCACAAATGCAGACAAAACAATATTGATTGTGCATCTCTAAAACAAAATTTTACGTCTTCTTCTATTAATAGCTCCTGCACCTGACACGACGGAATAGCTTTTTCTATAAGATTTTCAGTAACAATTTTTGTTAACAATTACGAGTGTAACATTTTTATCAGCTGCTTTATTCATAGTGCCTTAAGCTACACTTTGCGGGGTTCTGTCACAAAATGAATAATAGTACTATGTACAGAAGTTGCACTCTTTTGATGTTGACTGCTTGCCAACGTTTTAATAGCCTAGATAGTTATTATTAATCAGATAAATCGCACACACAAGCTAAATAAAACTTTATTGCTGCGCGCGAGTGTCCTTATTACTTTGCATCTTTTCTCCTTTCTACTCCTCAGTGTATTTTCCGTGGTTACTAAGGACTGTTATTAAAGAGTAAAGTAATACATTTTAAAATTGTAATTGTAAAGTGTTCTGAGAATGATCGACCATATTTCCGCTACGTTGTGATTTCTCTGATACCCAATGCATGTTACTTGCAAGGCCATTTGTCGGGAATCACAATGCTTGGCTCGTAGGAAATTTGAAAGATAAAGTAAACAACAAATAAACCCCAAAAATTTTATTTATAATTTATATTGATATAAGATATGGTGTTTTGTATTTTTTTATTTTTTTTTGCGGTTTGTTTGTAAGTAATTGTAGTAATGTTTTTTTTTACTTACTTACCTCTTAATAGACTGCAATGATTGACGAAGAATATACGTATATTGCAAAACAAAATATAGTCTCGATAGCTACAAAATATGCGGACGTCCTATGTTTGGAGTGCTCAACTCATGGGGGTCGTGGCCTGGGTAAGACGAGAAACAAATCTGACTCAGCGTCCACTCTAATAGAGAGATATGTATTTCCCTAGGAAGTCCAACAGAACTTATATCCATTCTCCTACGCAAAATTTCGCGCTAAGTAGTTGGGGCGCCTTGCTTTCTGCGTTAAATGTTCAGAGATAAATATCGGCTTCTGTGGCCTACCTAGTGCGAGATGGGTTGTATTCTTTCTTTATGGTAGTTGTAAGGTCAACGATAATATTTTCGTTACCAGTTTTGTTTTTAATGTGGAACACGTGTTTTATTTCTGGCTGCTGAACAGGCACTGTTGGAACTGGGGTTATTATCATCCATAAATTCCTTAATATTATAATAACGCTTTTTTTACTTACTTAGTTTAATAAAGTTTTTGAACTTTGAGCAGGAAACTTTGGAATTTTGTTGTAAAAGCGTATACATCGCCCAAAAATGAATTACTGACTCGATGGAGTCAAGTAACTGTTACTTCTGGCTTGTGTCTGTTCCTAGTATTTACAGAATGAACAACACTTATTTTTGTAAAACTACTTTTATTTTTGTGTATGTACATTAAATTTTCGTAAATGTATTGAGAGGCCAATGTTAGTATATAGAATATAATTACATTGACACGTCACTTCCAGATTTTAAGGAACTAATGTTTTTGATATAAATTTATATAAATTTTTAGTACATAATGAACTAATTTCGAATAAATGAAATAATTTCGAATGCTCAATATGTTTTAAGAAAGGGAAAGTCAACAACTGATGCTGTATACGCCTTAACAACTTTTATTGTTAAAAAAATTGGATAATAAAAAAAAATGTATAACCATTTTTATTAACCTTCAAAAAGCGTTTGATACGATCTCTTTCGCTAAGTTTACTGAAAAACTAGAAATGATGGGCATAAGGGATAAGCAGTTACGTCTTCTTATGAATTATTTATATAATCGAACACAACGTGTTAGGATAGGTAACATAGTAAACGATGAACAACCAATTAGTTACGGCATCCCACAAGGCAGTATACTTGGTCCAACGCTTTTTATGCTACATAAATGAACATTGTAACTTAAATATAAAAAATTGTAAAATAATATCGTATGACGATGATACAACACTAACGTTTTATGGAGATTCATGGGAAGAAGTTTTTAAAATTGCACAAGAAAATTTTAATACCGTCTGTCAGCGGCTAGCCATAAATTCACTTTCATTTAATGTTGATTAGACCAAATATATTACATTTTCGATTCGGAAATTACCAAAATATATTAACAATTATAACATTATAGCTCATTAATATTATCAATTTCCTAGTTCAAACTGCAACTGCGGTAATATAATAAATACACAAGAAATGAAATACTTAGGTATTACGAGTACAATAGATAATAATCATAAATTCAAAGCACACATAAGAAATTTAACCCCCAAAATCAGAAAACTAACTTACGTTTTTAAAAACTCAAGACATGTCACAAATTGGACTTTGTTAAAAACTGTTTATATATTTTTATGCCAATCTATATTAACCTACTGTATTACTGTGTGGGAAGGTTCCAATAAAACACTCATGCCTGAATTGGAAAGAGCTCAACGAATGATTCTAAAAGTTGCACTTTATAAGCCAAAATTTTTCTCAACTACTAGTTTATTCAGGGAA